AGGTATGAACAATGCCTTATCATTTATTCATTTATCTATTTGAGTTTTGTTTTTGGGTTTTGCTTTTGGGTTTTGGGTTTAGGGCTTCATTTACTGATGCTTAATATGGTAGTATAGATTTTGTATTGTTATTTACTGATTTTGTGAGAAAATTGTTCAATCACCTTCAATCGTCGCTCTCCATCTGTTATTTTAGGTATGAACAATGCCTTATCATTTATTCATTTATCTGTTTGAGTTTTGTTTTTGGATTTTGCTTTTGGGTTTTGGGTTTAGGGCTTCATTTACTGATGCTTAATAAGGTAGTATAGATTTTGTATTGTTATTTACTGATTTTGTGAGAAAATCGTTCAATCGCCTTCAATCGTCTAGCTTTCAATCGTCGCTCTCCATCTGTTATTTCAGGTATGAACAATGCCTTATCATTTATTCATTTATCTGTTTGAGTTTTGTTTTTGGGTTTTACTTTTGGGTTTTGGGTTTAGAGCTTCATTTACTGATGCTTAATAAGGTAGTATAGATTTTGTATCGTTATTTACTGATTTTGTGAGAAAATCTTAACCCTTTAATTTCTGTTTACATTGTACTACTGATTTTGTGAGAAAATCTTAACCCTATAATTTATGTTTACATTGTACTCCATTGGCAAGAATATGTTTGGGTTTTGCTGTTTGGGTTGTACTCCATTGGCTAGAATATGTTTTGCTTATGTATGCCAAGTATTTGTTAAAAGGCTTCATTTACTGATTTTGCTGTTTGGGTTATACTCCATTGTCACGTTGGAATGATTGATATCTAGTCTTTAACTTCTGGGTCCATTTTTGGTTTGTCAGCCCAGCCACAAGTGCATAAATTCTGTTTAGATTGTAGTTGTTTTGTGGACGTTCGAATGGGCTGTGGATAGTATCGGATTGTTGGCTAGCACCATTGGGGATTCTTTGAACCATACAAAGTAAAAGATTTGTCTTTAAGCATACAACATTTTATGAATGCCAAGATTGGTTTTATGAGAACTGCAACAAAAAGTTAATGATGAAAAGTGGAAAATTTGGAGGAAGGTTATAAGGTAACTAATTGCCAAGATTATTGTTGCTTAGATCACTTCACTAATCCATAACACAATGTCAGGTTTATAAAATTATGCTACTACCAAAAGAATCCATGAAAAGATTGAAAGAAAATTTCATCTGTTAGAAACATGTAATCATTCGATTTTAAAGATTGAATTAGCAAATCGCTTTCTAATGGAACAAATTTGGACTTCTGTCTTTTCCAGATCTGAACAAAATACCCGCTAGGCCCGAATCCCACTCCACGCTGCTGCCGTCGAGTATCTACGATCCCCTCGCAAGTAAGCATTTATGTATTCTTCTTACGGGCCGTTTACCTAAATGTTTACCAGGTAAGTACTTACCCTTAGGAGCCAACACTATAATTTATTTTACCGGGTAAGATTGTAGTACATCAAAATGGTATCATATGCAACAATTTACCCGGTAAGCACTTACCCGAGTAAGAGTCGTCACTCTCACTTACCGAGTAAGACTCTCCATCTTTATCTTTGCTCTTACGAGGTAAAGATTTTTGACCCTTGCCCTGTTCATCCGGTAAGGAAAATTACCCGATAAACACTTACCGGGTAAGCGTTTAGTAAACGGCCCCTTAATGTTTTCCTTTATGTTTTTATGTTTGATTGCAATTCTAAGTTTTTTGCCGGTAACTCCTTGAAATGATGAAAAACTCCATCTCCGTTGTTTGATTTTCGATTTCGAATTATGGCTATTTGTTTATTTTGTTCCGAATTACTAGCATTTTACTTGCATTATATTCATAATGGTGTAGGAAAGCTTAGTTTCAGTTTGTTTACGATCCGAATTCTTGATGATGTTAGTTATAGAGGGTAAACTTATGGCGTTGTTTGTTTAAGATCAGATTACTTGTTCATTGAATAGACTAGAATGAGATCCTGCATATGAATCAAGTGCAACCAACACTGATTTATTCAAAATCCAAATGGAAATATTAAGACTCAAATCATCCTAACAATGTCCACAAAAGATGACTAACAAAAAATTTAAAGATAGGAAGAGTATAGAACTGAATTCAAAGAGTACCACCTCGGAGAGCTTAGTTTATAAAGCCTCGACTGTTTCTTCTACCTCTAGCCTTGTGGAATTTTCTGCCCTTAGCTCGCACATACGGCTTGGTGTGGCTGTCTGGTACACTGGGAGCCTTTCCAAAGTGTCGCACTGCTTCACGACAATTCTTTGGACCTCTTAGCAGAACCTGTAATACCCAGTTAACATTTTCATGAAATTATCATTAAGTTGTATACTAACATGTTGAAGCAACTGTCCGTTAAGTTTTCAAATTTTTGTAGCACCAACTGTTCATTAAGTTATATACTAACATGTTGATGCAAATATTTGTAAAACACAAGTGCATAACTGCTCAAATGCACCTCAAAATAATAAACTTGTTTACTTGAGACCTTTATGTATATAATCTATGTAGTATATGAAACCATATCACAAAGTTGTTTTGATCAGCGTTATCGGTTCTTAGTGAGGAGGACAGGAAGCAACTTCAATGCTGTGATATTGAAGAGGCTGCTTATGAGCAAATTAGCAAATATATTTACATGTAATATACGGCATTAAAACGTGTTTGCATTGCCAGCAATAGAATGATATAATCAACATGTATATATGTTTGTAACCTGATTTAAAACAAATACCTTGCCAGACATGTAACAATAAAGAAATCGGAGGTTTGTTAATTTTGCTCATGAACAGCCTCTTCAATATCACATTTGAAGTTGCTTTCTGTCCTCCTCACTAAGAACCGATAAAGCTGATTAAAACAATAAAACAACAAGGAGCTTGAGGTAGATATCATCGGATCTAGGGCCGGTTCTTTTGGTCTTCTTGCTCTTTCCACCTGCAACACCCCGGACCGTGGCTGATTACATGTAATGATTAGTTGTGTGGCATAATGGCTATACATGTCATGTGCATATTTGCCTATGTAAGAGCCAGATAACTTGAGACAACTTCTTATACAAATGACAATAAAAACATGGGTTTCTTTTCTGCAATAAATCAACCAACCGAGTGCAAAATGAAGCTCAAATCATTTAGTAAAAGATTTGTCTGCAATAAATCAACCATCTCCGTTTGATTTTTGATTTCGAATCATGGCTGTTTGTTTATTATGTTTCGAGTTACTTGCATTTTATTCGTAATTGTGTAGGAAAGCTTGGGTTTAGATTGTTTACGATCCATATCGTGAATCCTGGTAAGTTTTCATACGATGTTAACGAACTGGTCTCAAACAGTCGGTTGTCGTGAATGAGGTGGCAACCGGAGGGACATCATATGGCACCACTCAATAAGTCAAGAAACTTGTGAATTTTCGATGTTGTTTCTGGTAATTCTGTGTGTAATTCAAGTTGATTATGGCTAGGATTCATACTTCAATTAGGAAAGGAGAAAGTAGTTAGGAGCTCTCATTAATTTTAATCAGCTATGTTATCCACTATAAGTACATATTGAAAAAAATGGTTACGCACTTTATTTTGTCTTTCTCTAACCAAACAGTTATTGGGTAAATATTTATCGTCAAGAATCACCACTCTTACTTATCTTGAAACATTTTTTGCCATCGAAATGGATTATTCGCAAACACCTTTTATCCAGTAAGCATTAACAGGTTAAAGTCTTTTTCTTCAATTATCGGGTAGGATTCTCGGTTCTTGCTATACATCTTACTGAGTAAGATTTTGAATCCTTGACATGCTTACATGATAAGGTAAGTGACACTTAGGGGCCGTTTACCAAACAATTATCCGGGTAAGTGCTTAACAAGCTACATTACCTCACAGGATGAATATGGTAAGGACCAAAAATCTTACCCGGTAAGAACGAAACAAGGACCAAGAGTCTTACCCGGTAAGTGAAGGCAACAACTCTTACCACGGTAAGCACTTACTGGGTAAATTGTTGCATACGATGTTGTTTTGGTGGACTAAAATCTTACCCGGTAAGTAAATAATAATGTTAAATTTTACCGGTAAGCACTTATCGGGTAAGTGTTTGGTAAACAACCCCTTAATAAACAGTTTCTTAATTCTTCATTTTTGACCAAATCAATCCAGTAGGAAAGATTGGTTATATTTGCAATGAGAAAAAGCTCATAATTTGTTGTATATATAATTTTAATAAATTCATATGACATGGCTTGTGAAATTAATAAAAATATATATGGAATTTATTATTATAAGAAAAAAGCGATGTGGTTGTGTTGCTATTGAACAGCTTCTTTAAAATGATGATATGATGCATGACATTTTCCCCTTACTATCTCCTCCTCCTTCCATTTTGTTTTGTTGTTGTTGGTGGAATATTCTGTTGCTACCCGTCTTTCCCGGTTTTCTTGCGACGTGCCCCACCATCCCTTCCTCCTTTTTATTCCCTTTTCAACCATTCTTAATTTTCTTTCCAAATCTATATCTATACTACTTTATTACCCAAATTTGATAAATATTTTAAAAGTTTTAAGCTTATCTCCAAAAAAATTACACTTATCTCCATGAGATTATTTGTTTTGGAGAATCCAACATTGATCATAATATTAAAATATTTTATTCATCTATTATTATTTCTCTCCTAAATATTTATTTTCAAAGTTCTCTATTGAGATAAAATGTTTTATGTTGTTCTAATGTTCGATTTTATTCTATCAACAATATTTTCAAAGGTTCATCTAGTTGAGAAACAAATGTTTGGGTTATCATGCATCACAATCTCTTTCATTTTTTAATTTTGATAGAGATGTGAACCCCCCCCCAAAGCTATTTCAAATATATTTTACAAAAAAATGATATTTAACAGAATATATGAACCTTTGCATCCCGCTGCATTGCGCGGGTAGACAACTAGTATATATATATATATATATATATATATATATATATTATGCTGGGAAGAACTTGATCATATGGCAAACTAGATGGGTAAATGATATATCAAACGGTAAAATTGTCAATAAAGTACCAATGCATCTAATAACTTGCCTTCAAGCCAAAATCAGCATGTGAAAAGTTCTTACTTGGTCATAACAACACTTTGTATGCTCTACAAGCAAACTGACCGAAGAAACCTACAAAAGTCTGTATCTAATCCTCGGTGTTTTCAGCATTAGCTCCCTTGAGATGTAGATGTTTTTCCCTTTTTTGGAAATCTGTCAGACCTTTCCCGCTTCCGGTTACACCCACCTTCCCAAAAGGGTCCTCTGGAGACTTGAATATGCTTTCCCGCTTGCGACCCGAGAAGAACCCAATCTGGAGTCAAACAGAAATGAAATTAGATTTAACTGAATACGAATAATCTCCTAAACCTCCATGATGGAAATATGAGTCCACACTCCATACCTTCTTGGCACGGCCTTTCGTGGTCTGAAATTGTTGCCATGCATTTTGTCTTTTATTCTGTGTAACCTCAATTTGCTCTTTTCGCATCTTAGACTTGAAAGCATGTATCTTCTTACGTTTAGCAGCTTTCTGTATACAAATAAAAACCTTTTTATTTATAACATCTTATATAAGAATATGTATGGTGTTGTACAATGATGTCGAGATCAACAAGTGGGAGGTCTGAAAAATCAAACATGCCCTCACCCTCATATATATATATATATAAGTAAAAGATCGCCTATTAGTGACACCATGTTTGGCAACCATAAGCTAGCTTATTATTTTAGCTTATTGCAAAGTCATGTTCTTCTTTTAGGTCACTTTATGTTGTTATCTAGATCATGAGCTAGTTTTTACCAAACATTACTAGCTTATCAGCCAAACATTGCTTTAACTAGAAGGATTGGAAATCAGCCAACTAAAGCAAATTTAATATCCTGTTTCCAGGAGAAAGGTTCTGGATATGCCACTGTAGTTTTCTAACGCCTACTAGAAGGATTTAAAAATAATTTCTTGTTCTGGGAAACCATGACCAGATAAGGAAGTTGGCCAGGTTCAGCTGTGCCTTATAACGTACTCGTAAAAATATATACTATTGAAAGCAAATTTTGCAAACATGCTTACCACATCCTCAGGATCTTCTGGTTCAATACGAAGCTTTGCCGGCAAGCTTTTTGACTGGAAGTCCACATCAGCTGAAGCAGCTTGGGCAATCTTACGTTTAAGAGCTTGCTTAGTAGCTTCTGCCTCCTTCTCAGCTTCCAGCAATGGATCAACAATTCCTTCTTCTAAAGGCCTAACATTAGCAGGATCAACCTGCCCACATTTTGTCGGTAAGCCATGCCACATTCATACAATGATATACAGAAAGAAAACAAAGCAAGTGAGACAGCAAAGAAGCACATATCAAGGTGTCGCTCTGATTTTTAGACGATGAAGATAAGAACATACAAAAATGTGTGACCAAGATAAGAAAATGTGTAGTAATTCAAAAAAGAACATCATAAACTTGAGCAATGACCAGAAAACAAAGTAGCAATAGAACCATTAACCATCAGTAATCAAATGGCAATCTATCTTGAGTTGAAAATTTACGAGCCTTAATTTATTAATGAGCGCCATGACAGAAACTTATTAGAGACATATAGGCCACCAAATAAACAGTGGATGCATTCTGCAGAAGTCATACCAGACTAAGCCTATTCGAGTGCCCTATTGAACAAACAAATCTTATATTTAACCCAATTTGTCCGATGTAAATAGGCAAGAAGACAAGTTCCAAGGTGGCAGAGTTGATCTTCATTGAATCCTTGCTCAAGCTAGCACAAGCACTTACAATTCCCATGCTAATGATACTCTGTATTATTAGAGATGTCAGCAGATAATCCTCATTAAACAATTTAGAAGTGAAGTTCAGGTAACTTGTTAGTTACATGGATATGTTTTTGGGTAAGGCATAAATGTCGTTTGACCTCAGGGAATTGTTAACAAGCATGAAGATACAGTCATAGATGACACCAAATTCGGAAGATGAAAAGGGAAGTCTGATCATGTTAGCATAAGTTGATCAAAAGTGATCATCTGCTTTTACACTGCTAAAAAATTTATTCGGATGCACTAATATTCTCCCCATTGACTGTTATGTCATGGACCCAAGTACATCGTACATAAACTTAATTTGAGGTTTGATCCAAACCCCAATAAAGATGACAACTAGTAATCATAGCAATGATGGAAGAAAAACCATGTATAATGTGACATCAAGCATTGCGCTTGGTGGCATTTGGCCCATCCACTAGGTGATACCACCCAGGAAGTCATGGGTTCAAATCCCCTTTTGTTTCATAGCTATTCTTAAAAAACAAACCTTATATAATAGTTTAAACCATAATACATGACCTAATTCTCTTAATGCCTTCTTGTATTTATCCGCTAGTATAGTCTCTAGCAGATGAAAGTTCTCCAAGAATAACTGAAGCAAATTTTGAGTAGGCTATGTAAGAAAAACTAAAACAAAAAGAACTAAAGTAGACGGTAATTCATTAAATAATTTACAAGGTCAAATCAAGGATAGCAACAACAGAAAATGTTCAAGGCAGTAAAGGCCTTCCCGTTCGTAATCTTAGCCACACAGATCATACCTCTTCCTTATTTCCCCAGCCACTATATGCAACCAAATATCCATTTTGCGTGAAGGCCTCTATTGTTGCATCATACCTGCATATTCAACAATATCAGACAGATAGGAGAGGCCAAGAAAGAAAAAAATTGGTGCCCGGCCCTTGATCAGATAAAGCTGCCCGCCCTATGACTTTTTTGAAAAGTGAAAGAACACCAAAAAAGAAAAGTATACCACTCGCCATCTTCACTATAAACAGCTTGAACTTTAGCACCAACAGGAAGCTTGTGCCCATCAAACATTTCACTTGATACCTGATTAGATATATGAAAGAAAATGAGACAGACAGAAATGCATAGCAGATATATTAGACAGAGAAAGAGAAACAGATCCATAAACACACAGCCAGATTTCGATAACATAATAAGGTAACATACAGACTTCCAACAAAAAAAGGAAAACCTAATACAGACCAGCCTCTATCCATCACCACCAAATAATGGAGAGATCATCACTTTCCTCCAACAAAAGCTGTTTTGTTATTTGACAAATCCAAAAGAAGTTTTTTAGGACAGCAATTGATGACATGGAATGGATATTTTTTACATGATACATAACACCTAGTTAGCAACATTGTTTTACATTACAGTGTTGTAAATGTAATTGGTGTTTTGATTCTATTTCACAAAGAAAGAAAAACATTTTTCACAATACTATTTATTTTTTAATAAGCCCCTTAGAAGATTGTCACAGAAGAAAACCACCAAACTGAAATTGAAGACCAGTGAAACAATTGAAAACAAGTCCCCCATCTGCCCACTGCCTAATTCCCACCACTATTGCCTCCCCATTTGCTCCATCATGATCAACAACAAGATCATGTTACACTCACTCACAACGCACAATGTGAAGATCTATAAAAAATCTAAAATCTTGCAACTTGTTTGTTTCAGTTGTGCTCTTCCTCAACCATTCTATGATAATCCTTCATAAGCTAAAAAAACAAGAATAAAATAGCACAAAAAATTGGGCATATTATCAAATCGTTATGGTGATCTGCAATAGTTGTGAGAATATGAGGGTTAACCAAGGTGATGTCACCAAGGTGGCAGAGAATGGAAAAGATGACAGATGAAATTGAGGGAGGTGGAGTTCACTTATATAACACAGAGGGAGGCGGAGAATAGAAATTGAGGGGAAGATATGAGGCAGAGGGGCAATACTTGATTTGGAATTTTTATTTTTTTGGGTTTGAAACATCTACTGCATTAAAGAAGTCAACATCCATTTCTTTCTTTCTTATAAACCAATAGAACATCAAAATAAAAATATATAACTAGCATTTACCAATTTAGTCAAATGTGTTGCTGTTTCTAAAAAGCAAACAGTTGTAAACATCTGTTTTCTACTCGGTTTATTCTTTATTGAAAACATACAACATAAACATTGCCAAGATACCTAAGGCGTAGGATATTTCAAGAAGAAGCTTACCGAAACATTTTGTAAGGTACCTCCAGAATGGTGAAAACTAGGGGATACATCAGCACTTGTTCCAATACCCACTCCAGAATTTCCAGCTTCATCCTGTGCAGTTGCCAGGAGTTCTTCAGTCAAAGCAATCACCTGCAGCAACAAGGCAAGGCTTTTAATGCTTGGGACTTCTTTCACATCGCTAAGATAAAAATGGTGTTGTTTCAAACTCATAATCTTAGAGTGAACATCTGAAATCAGGAGACAGAGGTAGATTGGCCATCACGACACATAGCAGACCTGCACAGAAATCAAGATACAAGTGATGGACATCTTTGATGTTGTTTCTAAATCCAAAACTTTGCAAGTTTGTCAGACTTCACCAGGTGTGGAAGTTAATATTTAGTAGGAATCTCATTCTCACCTTCTAAAGCGAGGTAATCAAGGCCCTTGTCAGTCATTACCAGTTAACTATTGTACTTGCTAGAGCAATACAAACATATTATATACAAACACACATCCATGTGCATCTGTGTTTATGGAGAAAATGGACAGCGTCAGACTACGTATTAGGATAGTGAATTGTTATATTACTCTACAAGGCATCCAAAATATATATCAACATAATGAAGCTTCTAAATCATTTGTGGCAAATGCAAATATATAAGAGAATTTAGATGCCAAGTCCGGGTAGCTCAGCAACAGCCCCATGGCAACAGAATTCAAATGGGACAAACGCTAGAATGTAACAGAATAAGTAAGATCACCTCCACAAGCTCTTTCTCCACATCAGTATACTCGGCATTCCCAGGGTCATCCTTCAAAAGCTTCCTGACCTGATAACAGACAAAGTTCTTACAAGTGACTATACAGTACATAATTGTTGCATAGGATGAAAATTAAAATGAACTTTTTTTTTGAGAAAGCAATTAGAAACAAAGAGAATACACACACATCCTACTTTATTGAGTTTTGAACCCACAATCACTAGGTCCATATAGTTGATCAGATACCAGTTAGATAAAAAGCCACAAAGGAATAATATATTTATATCAAATAAATAGCTGAGCAGGCAACTTCCAAAGCTCCCAACAAATGTAAAGGACAAAGTCCTGTCAAACTACATTAATTACAAAAGAACTTGAAAGCAACAAAACAAATTACAACAGCTATCTTGCAAAAAAGTTGAGGTGCTTAATATTGTGCAAATGATTATAGAAAAGCCTCCATCTATATCTGACACAGACATTCATCAGGCCAAAGGTGCAGCAAGAATGCAGGACAATTTCCAAACAACAAAAGTAAATTACTCTATCGCAAAGTTGTTAAACGCTCAAGGCACACTTAGGCGCAAAGGGGTCCTGGAGCCTAGGTGCGAGGACCAGGAATGCAAGGCACATCTTATAAAATGTGTGAGTATGTATATATATATAATATATATATATACATACACACATAGTCATAGGCAACTCAAATAGCATTATATAAAACATGTTCAATTTCAATTTCTAAAAAGTAGTAATATCAAACATATCTCAATAATGTCTTGACTAGTACAAGCCTCCAATGCAGTAACCAGAAGAGAGAAGAAGAGAAAAGGGTTTTAAGCCATGAGAAAGAAGTTTTGGGTTTAAACCCATGCGGAAGAAGTTTTGGGTTTAAAGCCATGCGGAAGAAGTCTTGGGTTTAAAGCAGCGAGGGAGAAATATTAGGTATGGAACATATCTAGAGGGAGCCTTAAGTTCTAGAATCTGAGAATTTAATAGACTTGTTTAATACTAGGACTTGTCTGGTGACTCTTTCTTGTAGAAGTCCAAGAGACAAGAAAGTTATTAATATTAGGGTTTGTTTGACTGGTGCTAAATAGATCTTTCCAGCACCTTGGTGCGCCTCATCAATACACCTCGCCTCAACATGCAAAAAACCCACGAGCATGCTCCTTATGCGCACTTTTCACAACTATGATCTATCGTGACGCAAGTGAAAAACTTATGACATCCAGGAATCACTACAACCATTATATTACTTGCACTTCTTGATCTTGATTAGCACTAGCACAAACAGATGCACATGTACTAAAGATGATTTGCAGCTTTAATTGCATTTGTCGTCCATGTATACTCTTAAGGTGTACCCAACAAATCATGAGTTATTTTTACCTCTCCATTAGCCAGCAGCCAGGCAATCTTTTGCGTATAGCATTTACATACAACCTTCACTACAGAAAGAAGCACCTAGCATCGCCCTCCCTAAAAGAAATCCTTCTTATCCCATTAAGCCTCCATGTAACTCGCTATTTCATCTATTCAATCCCTATATCCCCATCAGACTTCTACATCCCTAGTCCTGCGTTCCAACCAAAACCCATCCTTGGCAGATTCTACCGACTTGTTCTATACCAAACAAAACAAACCCATTAAATCTCCCTTGAAAGTACAGTCCTAGAGATGTACACAAACACGTACTCTACCCCAAATGGTAAGGCGTTTGTTTCCATAACAACCCTCTGCTTGTAAAAAAGCTAGCTACCTGCTACCTTAGAATTGTAAAGAACAGTTTTTTTAAAAGAAGCCCAAATGCAAAGTATTAGCTAAAAGGAAAAAGAAACAAGACTAGAAAATAGCAAACAACAGAGAAAAAAATAGGCACATTAAAACATAGAAAAAATTAAGAAAAAACACACATTCCTCCATCTACGTAAGACTTAGTTACCCTATTTGTCACTCCATAGCCCTCTCCCGTCTCACCCTCAACCTCCTTAATTACCTTCCTCCCATGCACGCTAGCTATAGGCCCTACACCCTAGTCTACTACCGTAGTCTTGCATCTCCAAGAACTATCAGAGGTCTTGTTCTCAACCGGCAGGGAGCACCTCAGTATACCCCCCGGGCGGTCCGGGGGGGGACCACCATGGCTAAAGATCTCAAGCAATGGATATGATTTCATCCAGCTAATGAGAAGGCAAAGGAGGCTTTCTCAATCTGTCTTTGCTTTAGCCTCATTCCTAGCTCTTATAGGCATCGCTCACTAAGGGGTGTTTACTTATATCTTTCCACCTCTTACCGGATGAAAGGCTCTTACTCTAGTTAGAGGTCAGCTATTTACCAAACACAAATTAACTTCTGACCATTGATCGTGCATCTGTCTGGAGACGGACAATATTCATGCTTAGCACGGTCAGCGACTACTTTTCCTTATCTACCCTCCCTCAGCCATCTGCCCCAACTTCGAGAGAACAGAAAAACCTCATCATCACTATCCCTACCATCATTACCGCCATTTCTTGAATCTGTATCAGACAAAGAAAACCCCTGAAAAACCCACCTTACGTTAGGTGAGATTATTATATCAAATGAACCCAAAAGAACTTGAATCCATGGTATCCTACAAGAAATAGAGCAACCTAATCAAAGATCTTTCAGTTTTAAAGAGAAGTTGTTTGATAAGTTCAAATTGTATTCCACGAACCAACACCAACAATGACTTTACCTTTTTACATAAATCAAAAGAAACGCAATTCCAAGATCACTTCACCTCCTAAAGAGATCTCAATTTGTGGTATACCCCTTTTGAGAAATGAAAATTTTAATGTTTTGCTCAAGTTTTTGAGAGCTACAACAAAATGAAACCCAAAAATAAAAGAGAACTAGAAATAGGTAGCACAAGAACCAAGAGGGGTGGAAGGTTTCCTTTGGAAGATAAAGGGGTCGGCAACTCAACATAATCCAAAAAGGTATTTTATATTTAGTAGACAATTTGGGACAATAACTTCTTTCACTAATTAACTTTTAGGGGTATGATAGTCATTTTATTATAATAAGCACTTAATACAAAAATATTTGTAAACAATAAATTTAGTCGGCACTTACCCTGGTCAGACCACTTACCAGACCTCTTATCAGGGTCAACACTTGCCCACATTTTCTTTGGTAAACAGCCCCTAAGACAAGTCATAGACTACGATCTACTTAAAGAACTGGGTGATCACCTTCTTCTTTCTTCTAAGGTTGTCATGTCCATATTCATCCCACGTCCTTCTCCGCCCATACCACCCCTTCGACCGTCATGCTTTATGTTCTCCTTATTAGTAGCACTATCGGTCTCCTACAGACGTGACCAAACCACCTCAACTTGTCCCTGCTAAGTGAACTCCCACCTCCATCGTGAAGGCGGTATCACACAACACAATCTAACCACAGGTCCATCCAAGTATCCTCACTTTTTCCAACACCCCGACCCATACAACATAGTTGAGCTGATGTAGAATATTCCCCACAATTTTGATGAGATCGTCACACAACACCCTCATTACAACTCCACTTTAGCCCTTCTACATTTATGTGATGCGGTACGTCATCTTCGACCCTCGCCTTATCTCTCTCTCTAGATCGTGGAGTACTAAATACATGGAACCATCCTTTTGGGGCACCCTATTAGACATATAGATAGTAGGGATAATAGTGAGCTGGTCAATTTGATCATTTGTGGGGATCTAGTCAATTAGTCAATAAGTGAGGTAAGTAGTTTGTTACGAGAAGTATAAATAGAAGCGATGTAGAAGCTTTTACGCATCGATTTTGTATTTTGTAATTGGCGAGAGCCTCTTTGGAAGCTCTCTCGAAAAATTCCCCGCCTTTTTTTTAATCTGGGGTGATCCCCGGTGGAATTGCTTTTTTTGAAAGTCAGTCAAGCAAGAAGGAAGGTAGGATTAGCTTTGAAGCAGTCTTCAAGCATGACATGAATTCAAGCCAGTCTGCTACAGAGAATCAACTTATAGTTTGCTTTTTCCTTCCTTTCTTCGTTTCGAATTGAAAGAAGAAGAGTTGAGTAAATGAAAAATCCAAAGTCAACATTTGATTGTTGAATAAAGATGAACGGTGTGCTTCAATTGGTATCAAAGCAGTCGATCTTGGAAATGACCAAGAGTTTGCTAACCAAATTAACAAGATTGTTGGAGATCTAAGATCGGTGCAATCAAAGTTGAAGTTCATAAAAGAAAACTTTCAGGCTGTGAAGCAAATGCTCAAAGAACAGGAAGTACTAGAAGATTCGTCCAAGAAGTCACCAATCCAGGTAAGGTCAATGAACTCGTCAAGATTTGAATCCCTGACCTCGATCTATTTTCAAGATTCCAAGATTCTGCTATGAAAACGAAGAGAAGGCAGAGACAAATCAATGATGAAGAGTAAATCAACAACAACAAAGGCTCCGACAATAAAAGAAACGAAGAACAAGCAAGAGACTATTCCAAGTAATATTAACAATAGACAAAGAAAAGAGGAGTCACAAGATCTCTGTAGAGAGTCCAAGCAATTGCAATATGGGAAGATTTTGGTTAGGCAACCACCATAGCTTACCGCCACCACTACCACCACCATCGCCATTACCGCCGCCTCCACCATTGCCACTACCTATGTTATTGTTACTGCCTTCGCCCCCAACCACCTCCGTCACCAGTCTCCTATGGTTCGTCAACTGCATCTGTTTTTAGGAACTACAATATGTACATTCAAGAAAAACTAGGGGTTTGTTCATTCTATTGGACTTCAAATACTACAATGAAGCCCACATTTATATCCTTTTCTTAAGCCCAACAACTCAATTTAACTATCCCTCAAGCCCTAAAAGTGTCAACAATAAACCAGTGTATGAATTTCACAATACGAGTGTGTCTCCTACAGAATTAGATTTCTCCACTCGCTTCAAGATTCTTCACACTTTGATTCATCGATCCCTAGGGTTTCTAGCTTCATGAATTTCAAGTGTGGCCCTAAGGAACACCTCCAAAGCCAAAAAGGTACTTTTTGGAAAGAACAAAAATAAGAGGTCGACAATT